AAAAAGCCCCAAAATAAATCTTAAAAAATAAATAAAAAATCAAACAAGAGACATCTGAAACAGAGAGACAACAGCAGAGCTTCTGGTGTCTTTCAAACCCCCGGGGCTCATGGGAGGGAAGACTTCAAAAAAGTGGAGGAGAAATGAAGTCCAAAACAAACATAGGAATAAATAATCCAGGCACTCAGGATGGGTAGGAAAATAAGAGCGGCCTTTAATTCATTTTATCAGAAACATTCAAATACACCAATTAAAATGCCTGGATTATATGTTTGTTTGTTTTGGTCTCAAACTTTCCTCCACTTTTCTTTTTAAGAGACATCTGATGTTTACCTCGGCGACACACAGAATCAGCTGTCAGTTCACTCAGTGATCTCATGATGAGGAGCGACCAATTATCCTGCCAATTAAGTCAGATTTATCCGGACTTCTGTGCGGACGACGATGTTCGATCGTCCACTATCGTCCACTCGACTAATCACGAACATCCCCGGTTAGAATACCTTTTTGGTATGCACTGGATCATGATTCACTGGTTCTTGATTCCAGTGTGTGTGTTCAGTTCTGTTGTGATGAGTGACACGTTGCGTCCTCTGTGGTGGATTAGCGCCTGTGACTTGGAGGATTCAGGCAGCGGCAGCGGTTCAGTAATCTATTGTGCTAATCTGCTGCCAGTGTGCACAGAGATCATTACCCGGATCAGGATCGGGTCTGGATTTATGCAACTGCCAGGTGTTGGTCTGTGTGTGTGTGTGTGTGTGTGTGTTTGTGTGTTTGTGTGTGTGTGCGTGTGTGTGTGTGTGTGTGTACGTGCGCGTGTGTGCGTTTGCGTGTGTGTGCGTGTGTGTGTGTGAGATCTTCATGCACAAGGTTAACAAGTTGTATAAACAAGTTAGTCAATGGATGGAAACATTGAGGCAGAGAGCAGAATCACAGAGGAGGGATGTGTGTGTGTGTGTGTGTGTGTGTGTGTGTGTGTGTGTGTGTGTGTGTGTGTGTGTGTGTGTGTGTGTGTGTGTGTGTGTGTGTGTGTGTGTGTGTGTGTGTGTGTGTGTGTGTGTGTGTGTGTGTGTGTGTGTGTGTGTGTGTAGTAAATGGATTTTCTTACGTCCATGTTCCAGTAAAGTTCATTCAGAGTTTCAGCTGGTAAAGGTCGCTGTGTCTGTACAGCTCATGTAGCCCGACATAAAGAAAGTCATCTGTCGGAATTAATGCGCCTTTTTTTCTCTGATTTAAAACTGAAAAAGGTTTTATGTGAAGGCAGTGTTTCATGCAGTGCTTTATATTTAACAACAAATTTGTCTGCTTTGCTCTGTGAGATCCAGCAGCAGCTCTGGATGTTTTTGGATGTTCCGTTCTGGTTGCTCAAAGGTTCGGGCTGCACGTGATCCGCAGAAATGTACATTTTCTTTGTTCCATCCAAGCAGCTGTTTTGGACGCCCCTCGGTTTGCCAGATATGAGAGCAGTTTTCAGGTCAAACCAACAGGTGTTGCAGCGATGGAAGCGGGCAAGAGAACTGGTTCAGATAGAAGTGATTGTACCCGACCTAAAAAGCCTCTGCATGTTTCTAATAAGCTCCACGAGCAGAAACGTGCTCAAACTAGGATCAATATTGGAGATGCTTTTTGAAAAATGGAGAGAGGTTAGAACACAGAAAGGTTTACAGACCGATGCAGAGCTGGCTAAACACTGAAGCTTCAGTGTCCACCACATGGTGACCTGCGTGAGCATCGACTCTAGAGAGGAGGGGGCGGGGGGAGACAGCTCTCTACAATGTTTAGAATCTGGACTGCAGTACCCATTTTAAACACTAGGGGTCAGAGTTACATATTACTCCTTTAATGGCGCTTAGAAAACAGCTATGACATGCGCTACAGCTCCCTTCTGGCAGTAAGACCACATTACAACTGTTTGATTATTGATAAATAACTTAACTATTTACTGTTTATCCTATTTGACTATTTATAATTGTGACCATCCCTCATAAATGACCCACAGCAACCATCGTCGACAAACTTCCTTCAACATCTTGAACTTGTCATGATGTTTGTTTTGTGCTGAGAACTGGGGCGCTCTTCTTTAATCATATTCATCCAACAATGAGGGTTACATGTCTGAAGAGTTCATATGGAGTGAAGAGCGAGCGGCCGTGAACACTTCACAGAACAATGACCTCTTGTTTTTCGATCCTCTTATCCCTCTCTCTCCTCGCCACTTGTTGCGTCTTAGTCCTCTTTTCATCTCCTGTCCATTGTTTCATCCTGTATTTCTAATTTTCTGTTTTCCATTTGTTCTGGTTTTGTGTCTCTTTTTTGTTTTTGTTTATCTCCTGTCATCTTTTTCTCATTCTCTTAATTCGTCTCGTCTGACCTTTTCTCCGCGTCGCGTCTCTTTTCCCTCCAGCTTTTTTGTCCTTTCCCTCCATCTGTGCTGAGATTTTTTCCCTGGCAGTGACTCGACGCGATGGAGAGCATGATCAAATCGGAGCTAAAGCGTGAAGGGGGGGGGGGAAAGGCACATAAAAACACAGAGAGGGAGCTTAAATCAGGCCGTGGATTACGAGCGACGCAGGCCAAACACAGCGCTGCATTAACGGCTTTCTGACGAGCTTGTGGTTTCCTGGATGGAGGATGGCGTGGACATGTCAGAGCAACAATGCACATACGAGACACACGCATGCATGCGCACACACGGGATTAGTTATGACAACAACAACAACAACGTCAATGTGCCCAAATGTCCGTGCCCTCCCACCCCCTCTGTCCACCTAAATACCCGCTGACCTGCTTTCTCTAAGCTCCGGTCTCCTCGCTGACCAGCTGAATGAAAAAAAAAAAAAAGATGATTTGTGGGGCGGTTATGTGATGAAGATGAACAGCGTCTATTGGAAACTGTGACCTCACTGTGTGTAAGAGTGTGTTTAAGTGTGTGTTGGAATAGGAAATCAATGTGTGTTTGTGTTGTGAATGGGATGAGGTAACGATTTACAGTTCTCCCTCTCTCTTACTCTCTCTCTCTCTCTCTCTCTCTGTTTGAGGTATTCACAGCTGTCTTTGTCACGTCCCCCTCTGTGTGTGTGTGTGTGTGTGTTTAGTGAGCTCATTATTTTAGTTGTTTTAAAACAGCGATGATTCAACAGTTTTATGAACAGCGTTGAATTGGGCAAGGAAGATGTTTCTCTCCGTATCAGTAATTTTATCCGTCTAAATCAGAGCTGTCAGCATTAATTAGTTAATCACGATTAATCTCATGTTATTTTGTCCTTTCATGCTCACCGTAGATGGTCGTCCTCAGCGTCTCCCTGTAGTCTCAATGATGTTAAAGGACACTGCTGCATCTTTGAATGTCTCAAGTCACTTTAACAAACTCTCAGACGGCTCAGCTGACGAGTCCAAAGTAATATCTACCTTATGACATCACACATTGACCTTTGTTACCGTTCCTTTGAGCTGTTTGACCTCACTTTGGGATCACTAACCACTTCCTGTTCCTGTGCTTAACTTCATGAACTCACCTTCACTCTACCAGAAGCTCCTTACTTACTCAAAATAAAAGCACACAGGAACTCTCAGCTTAAGGCAGGACAAACATTCAAAATACAGTTTACTCTCAAAGCAGTAAAATCACAAATTGAACTGGTGGTAGTGTGTGCATGCTGAGATTATAGAGATGGCTTGATGAAAGTAGAAGAAGTTGAGTTTAAACCTAAACCCAGTAAAGACTGAAGACTGTTAATAATTCCTTCTTCATGCACAGACAATAAAACTTAAAACACATGAACTGTTTCCTCTGTTGGGTGTAAGGTCGAAGCTTTATGGTCACGTCTTTCATCAACCGCTCGGAGGAAACTCTGAGAGATGGCTAGTCGTGTAGAGAAAACACGGTGAACGTCTTTATCACCTTCATACTGAGTGTTTCTCCCCGAGCTTAGAGGCCTTAATATAGAAGAGCCTGAGCTGCAGATACTCATCTTTCTGTGTGAGTTCAGTGATTCTGCTCAAGCCGCTGGATGGAGGAGGCTGCAGCTCACAGAGCTTCCTGTAATTACTGCTGTCATCTCCACTCAGACCATCACAGCTCATTACAAAGACTGAGGAGCTATTATCAGTCAGAAAGACACGCTGCGGCTCTAATGAAGCTAACTGAACATTGACATTTGCTCATCGAGCGGAGACGGAGCTGTCAATCAATATGTCACAGGCTGCAGAGGCCGAGGCCGGAAAAAGAGATTCATACAGGGTTATAAACAAGGTGTGTGTTTGTATTCAGGTTGTCATCATCGTTGATTTTTGGGTAGACTTTTCTTTTCCACTGGGTTTTGAGAGATACAATCTCTGTTATTTTAAAGATCGATGGTACTGACACTTTAAAGTCAGGGTTGGTAATTTCCTCCAGATCCACTTTTTGTGGACCAAGATGTTGGTTGAAATTGTCTATAGGTCCTGACAGAAATTAATAACGCATATGCTCTGAAAATCCGTCATCTGTAGCAGTTGTAATGTCTGCCACAAGGTACCAATCTGATGAACCAATCAGACGCCTCCACACTCAAAGCGTGTCACCGATGACTTTAAGAGTTTATACTGTGAGTTTACTTACCGCTGAATGAGACGACGTAGTTTCTACACAATGCAAGAGATGAGCTGAGGTTGCTTCTGGAGCAACGGCGCTCGTTCATGTAAGTGAGGGGGCGTGGCTTTTGAGGGTCCCTCCCCCGCCCCCTCCTCTCTAGAGTCGATGCTCACGCAGGTTGCCAAGTCACGTGCAATGAAGCTCATGTGTTTAGCCAGCTCTGCATCGGTTAGAAAAGTACAGAAAAATAATTTCCTAATAATTTATCGCCGGAGATGAAAGTTATTTTATGCTGTGAAGGAGAAAAGATCTTGCTGCCGATGAAACCCTCCACACAATCAAACATTTTCCTCAGCATTCAAATCCATATGATCAACACCAACGTATTCAATATGACCATTTCAACCTGTTGCTTCTGTTTTCTCAGGATCCGTCTGTGCAGAAGATGGGTGGCGGCAGGAAGAAGACTGTGTCGTTCAGCAGCATGCCGTCTGAGAAGAAGGTAAAACACAAACCAAGAGTTTCATTATTTGACTCGCATCCTCTAAACTCATGTAACTGAACTAAAGGTTGATTTTCTGTCCCAGGTGAGCAGCGCGGCGGACTGCTTGGCGTTCATGCAGGGCGGCTGTGAGCTGAAGAAGATCCGTCCCAACTCGCGGGTTTACTGTCGTTTCTACACGCTGGATCCCGACCTGAGCTGTCTGCGCTGGGAGCCGTCGAAGAAGGACGGGGACCGAGCTCGCCTCGACGTCTCCAGCATCCGAGAGGTCCGCACGGGGAAGAGCACCGAGACGTTCCTCCATAACGGACCTCTGTCTGAACACCTGGCGGAGGAGGCCGCCTTCTCTGTCATTCACGGGGACGAATACCAGGTAAGAACGTGTGGCGTTATCCTACAGATCGACGAAGAATAATCTCATTAATCCAGCATTTAACCGACGATGTCTCCTTCTCTGCAGTCTCTGGACTTGGTGGCGTTGTCAGCAGATGTAGCCAACATCTGGGTGACCGGACTCCGCTACCTGTTGGCCCACCCGTCTGTCATCGGGGGAGCCGGAGGAGGAGGAGGAGGTGGAGGGGGAGGAGTTCTGGGTGAAGGAGGTTTTGCGGTTGAAGGAAGTCTGGGGAGTAAGATGAGGAGTGAGTGGCTGGCTGCAGAGTTCGCCCAGGTGGATGAATCTGGAAACAGCATCGTGTCGGAGGACGTGGCGGTCGCTACGATCTGTAAACTGAATCCTGGGATCAAGGAGGCGAAGGTGAGGAAGTGCTAGGGCTTTCTTCTGAGAGCGTGGTCTCACAGGAACATGGCCGCTGTGGGAATATGGTCCATTGTACCCATAGGATCTGAATACTTCTTTTACTCAGCTACATAAATGAAAAATATTTACACAGTTTAAAGAAAGCTCCCCGGCTGTCTTGCATCAACATTTAAGATATGAATCAAAAACTGGCAGAAGGCAAAGACACACAACATCATGAGGGTGTGTCAAAACAGCAGAGGACTCTCAGAGTTTGTATTCTGCCCGACGACACCCCCAGCAGGAGAGAGCTGCATCATGTTTGTGTCTGTATGTGGAGCAGAACATAATTTTAATCCCCTGTGACACCGACTTGTTGCTCGTTTGGCTGTCTGATGTGCAGTTTCACGCGGTTACTTCTCCCACTCACCTCGGCGTGCATCAGCCGCTGTCTGAGCTGCACACAGACACAAAGACGCCGCTGAAGTGTGTGTTGGCTCAGGCAGGTGAGCTGACTGCTGACTACCTGCAGACATATTTTCACTGAGATGATATCAGAGAGGGAGAGAGCAGAGGGGGAAGCAGACCGAAACAAAATACAGACGTGAAAAATAAAATCTGAGATATCAGATATCAGAGAGGGAGTTAGATTAAGGACGTTATTACTACAGAGTGTTGTTAAATTAATTTGGGTCACTTTAATATCCTTATTAAGGATAATAATATCCTCATTATCAAGTTTAATCAAGTGTTTTGCGCCATGGAATTAAAGAAGATAATCTTAGATAACTCATTTACTCACTGTCAATCTTACCCAAGCTGCAACCTCCAAAAACTGCAGTTCCTCCAGTGTCCACTAGAGTCTGTCTCCTGCAGTGAGTCAGTCCCCATAGGGCCCCATGTTAAAATGTCCAACTTTACAGCTGCAGTTCCTCCAGTGTCCACTAGAGTCTGAGATCATTTGTTTTGCTCTGAAAGTCACAGAGTAATCTTTCTTGTCTTCTTTCCGCAGGTGCGTCTGCGTTTCAAAGAGATCCAGCGCAGTAAGGAGAAGCTGACCTCTCATGTTACTCTCGAGGAGTTTCAGGAGGCGTACTGCGAGCTCTGCACGCGGCCGGACGTTTACTTCCTACTGGTTCAGCTGTCCAAGGACCGCGAGTGTCTGGACCCGCAGGACCTCAGGCTCTTCCTGGAGACGGAGCAGGGTCTGTCTCTGGCGGCGACCGAGGGCTGCTGGGAGCTGCTGAAGAGGTGTGAGCCCTCCGCTCAGGGGAAAGAGAGAGGCCTGCTGGGATTGGACGGCTTCGCTCGATACCTGCAGTCTCCTGAGTGTCAGCTGCTCGACCCCGAGCACCTGGGAGTCTGTCAGGATATGAACATGCCTCTGTCCCACTACTACATCAGGTGAGGGAGGATATTTAAACTAATCCCAGCAGTTTAAATCAAATGTTTGCCGTCTGTCAACAAAGCACAATAAGTATCGAACCCCCAACCTTCCAGTTGAGATTTCTCTGACTCTACCACTGAGCCACAGCCGCCCGTTTAGCAGCAAATGTGACAGGCGCACCCAGGATGCTGTCTGCTCAGGAGGGCAGTTTGCGTATGTCCCCCTTTGTGCATTCTTTGTGGATTCCACTCCATTTTTTTTTGCACAGGCTTAGCACCCGAAAAAAGCAACGCAATCCTTCTGTTTATCTGGCCCTTAGTCTATTTGCTTTTTACCCAATGTATGTAGCAATCCTCTGCACAAGTGAGACACTGATCATGGGTTAATAAGGGGTTAATGTCTTCGATTTTCTTGAAACAGTTATCTTTTATAGTGCTTTATGGAACACTTGACGGGCTCTGCATCCTCAGACTGTTCACTGCTGAATAAATCTGAGCACGCTCCTTTTTAAGAGTATGTGTCTACTCCTCTGACAGCTGGTTCAGCTGAGTCAGTCTAACCTGCAAACTGCCATTAAAAAAAAACAAATATGTCATAAGATATGTACTGATGAAATGCAGCTTACTGTCTCCAAACATTTGCAAACAAACATAGGTTTTAGAGAGCGGTGTGAAATGTGTTCCTCTGATGTCTGATATCTTCAGCAGCTAAGATGTGTTTTGATACTTTAAAGAAGTGATTAAGAAGCGGGACATTAATCGATTGTCTCCCGCAGCACGTCGTACCGCTCCTACCTGCTGGACGATCAGGTTCACGGCAGAGCGGATCTCGGCGGTCTGATCAGAGCTCTGCAGTCGGGCTGCCGCTGCATGGAGCTCGGAGTGACCGACGGCCCCGAGGGGGAGCCTCTCCTCGGGGTGGACTATGGACCAGACATCCCCCGCCATCACCACCATCACCACCATCACCACCACGCCCCCGTCACCATCCGCTCCGCTCTGGAGGTCGTGAATAAATACGCCTTCCTGACCTCGCAGTACCCGCTCCTGATCTACCTGTGTCAGCGCTGCTCTCCGGGACAGCAGCGCACGATGGCGCAGCATTTAAAGAAAGTGTTTGGCTCCCGTCTTTACACGCCAGAGGCACTTCCTGTCAGCCTGGGGGGCCGAGCCACGACCTTACCGTCCCCCGAGCAGCTGAAGGGACGCATACTCATCGTGGGGAAGAAACTCCCTCCAGAGCAGGACGGATCGGACGGGGAGGTGTCTGAGGAGGATGAGGAGATCGGAGGAGGTGGGCCTCTGGCGGGTCGGAGGATGACTATCCCCGGTGAGGAAGAACTGGGCGTGGTCTTGGTGGTGCCTCCGCCTTCTCAGCCAAGGAAGCTCCGCCTCCATAAAGACCTTTCCGATCTAGTGGCGATCGCTCGTACGGGCAGCAGAAGCTTCTACGCCCAGAGAGCGAGTCACAAACTATCGCAGCAGCATTCCCCTCCCAGCAGCCCCTCCTCCCCCAGCACGCCAATTCCTCCCGACCCGCCTTATTGGACGCTGTGCTCACTCGGGGAGGGAGAGGGGGGGCGGCTGACGACAGAAAGCCCAGAGGACCTTGTAATGTTCACGAAGCGCACTCTGACGCGGGTACGACCCAGCTCGGTGCGTCTGGACTCCAGCAACCCCAACCCTCAAGGGTACTGGAAGGGCGGGGTCCAGCTCGTGGCCTTGAACCAGCAGACCCCCGGCGCCATGCTGGACCTTCACAGAGGTCGCTTCCTGCAGAACGGAGGGTGTGGTTACGTTCTCCGGCCGGCCGTGATGAGGGACGAGGTGTCGTATTTCAGTGCTCACACGCAGGGATGTGTGCCGGGAGTGCCAGCGCAGACCCTGAGGATAAAGGTGCAGAAAGTTTATTCCTTAAGTTTTGTTGCATTTTGGGGGAATTCATTAACAAGCGATTTAAGCCGCTTGCAACGCTTTACTGCCCCATCTGAAGGGCACATTCACAAAGCATATTGAGCTAATATTAAAGTGTTGCAGGTGAGTTCAGTTTGCTCTTCCTACGCTTCTGATTGCAGAGAGGAGCTCCTCTGCATCTTAAATCTTCTCATTCTAATAATATTTCAGAAACATTTTTGCAGTCTGTTTTTAGCCAGCAGATGATTTCATTTTACGAGCTGCCACAAATATTTAAATTTTGCCAAGAACACTTTAACCGGTAGCCTGGCATCCCTTTTAAATGTGCTTCAGGTCCATCTTTCTCTCTGATACCAAAATCGTATTTTCTCTTCACTGCATTTGGCTGTTTGTGCAGGCGCTTGGGGAATCTGACTTTTTTTTTGCACAAGGCTCATGTATGTCACCTAAAACACAACATGCATACCGCTTAAGTCTCGTTTTGCCTCCGTGGTACAGAAGAGTTTTAGCGAAACACTGAGGCCCCGAGTCCACCTAGTGTTTTTTCTGTGCAGAAGAGCGCTGGCTGCGTGCTCAGGAGCACTCGCGTGAAGCACTGAGAAGAAAAGCGCTGCACGTCCGTCCTGTCTCCATGACTACAGTCTGTTGACAATGGCCGCTGTATGGCTGACACTGCTCAGTTACTTTTTACTGCATGTATTATATTCGATCGGAAAAAAGACGCTGGGCGCTGTTCTTTTTCTCCAGGTGGCCGCTTGCCGCTTCTGTAAACGCTCTCTACTCATTGAAAACTATTTTAAAAAAGACGCTGGCGCTCAGAAAAAAAAGGTTAGATGCCGATCTTTAGCTTTACACTCCAGTCCAGTTGGTGTTATGTTAAACACACATTCGCTGGTTTGCAAACTGCGGATAAAACCATGAGAAGAAGAATCCAACAACAAGGTTAACATCGACTTCCTGTTGTTCTCCTCTGCAGGTGATCAGTGCACACAACCTGCCGAAGCCTCAGGGTTCAGGGGCAAAGGGGGAGGTCATCGACCCGTACGTGGTTCTGGAGCTGCACGGCGTTCCGGCGGACTGTGCTGAACAGAGAACACGCACTGCTGCTCAGAACCAGGACGACCCGCTGTTTGACGAGACCTTCGAGTTTCAGGTAAGAGATTCCTACAGCGGAATCCATTCGGGGGAACAGATTCTGTTGGGTTTTAAGATTTTTGGGAGTGCTTTCTTTGATTTCCCTTTTATAAAGAGAGAGAGAGAGGGGCCGACATACAGCAAAGAGTTTGAGTTGTTATTGAACCCTGGCCTCTGCAAAAAGGACTTCACACTTTGACAGATGAGCTACATGTGAAGCACTGCTGCTATGTTTGCATTCATTAATTTAATTTGATTATATCAGACACCTGTCAAAGTTTGAATAGATGTGTCAGTAAAAACCCTCCTTTCAGCCTCTTCCTGAAACGGTTTGTTTCAGCTGCTGTCTCTTCAAAACCCCCCCTCTCCACGGGGGGCAGACCGCTGCAGGGCTGCTCTCCAGTGAAGTGAAGAGTCTATGTAAGGTTTCAGCAGCTTACGTCGAGGCTTGAAGCCGTCTGGTCTTCGTTTCATGTCGGGGCGTGAATACACTTTTTAGCGCCCTCTGCAGACTCATCCTGGGATTACTCCAACATACGTTTACCTCATGATCTGAAACTTTGCCCACGTTTAGTTTGGACATCCAGCATTGTAACACTATGAGAGTTTGAAAATGGGGATCAGCAGAATAGGTCGACTTTAAGCTTTCAAAATAAAAGTCTGCAAACCGACAGGTGACGTCACCGCAGCTTTATCCTCTCCTTACACACTCAGTCTGTGGGCATGATTTAGCATAAACACATCGTTATCAGGAGGAATGTATTAGAAGAAGGTAATGGATTCCGGTTCAGCGTTTTCACTGGCGACACTCATTAATTCTTCTTATCCTCTTCAGGAGGAGAAAATAAATTCCTAATGGAGCAGGAGGAGACTTAAAGAGCACAAACATGCAGCTCATCTTTATTATGATTCCCTGAATGACCCTAAATAGAAATATAAAGCTCTGCAAATGGACTTAAAAGGTCAAAATTGTCCCTGTTTATCTATATTAGAGTTTTCTGAGACTCTATCATAATTCTCAGATAAAAACACACACATTCCCAGCAACAAGAAGTGCTTTAACAAATGCATTCAGTTTATAATACTGATGAGAAAAAGCATAACCAGCCGAAGACATTTACACAGCTGCATGACAGCCTCATGCTAATCCTGTTTGCTGTTCAGGACCCAAAATAAAGAACTCAAAATAGTCAATTTGTTCAGTTTCTTAAAGACACAAAAGCATGTAGACAGGTAGTGTTGATGTCTCTGCAAGACGTCAAAGTTCAGCGGTTTGTGAAGAATGCGTCTGATGATGTCATTGTTAAGAATGACCGGTTATTACACCTTTTGGAAACATGACCTTAAATCCTGTTATGATGCGTTCAACGTGGTCTATATTCAACATTAAAGATGTCAACAACATATAACAGGATGATGTGTGTGTGGAGGTGTGTGTCTCCTCCTCAGTCCTCGCCACCTGCAGCATAAAAGTAGAGCACATAGCTCTTAATTGTGAACCTTTAGGAGTGAAACGAGCTGCTGTCATGAAGACACTGACGACTGCTCTGAATTTATCACGGCAGACGAGGTTTGACGGCCGCCATCAGCAATGCTCACTGACAGGCGTCCAGTGTTACTGAGACTGAGCGGTAATGACAGCCTGTCACAGCTGATGAGGCGTCATGTGGCTCCATCATGTGTGTGTGTGTATGAAGCCCGGTGTACGCTGTGTGATTGTGTAAAAGTTGAGGTGGAACGTCAACAAAGCCCATGATGTACTGTATGTGCTCACACCGTACGACCTGATTGTCGGGCACGACCTGAGAGCTCACACTAAACGAGTTGAATCAGGACGGAGCGTTCACGATCGTCAACAGATGTTCAGTTGTCTCGCATGCACGGCTCAAATACACAACTTTCTCTCTCACTCACACAAACACTCTGCATCACAGATTAAGTTTACCAGCAGCTAACTCATAACAAATACTCCCTGTCGGCTGGCTGCAGATATCTCCAGCCAACGTTTCTTTCATAATCGAAGGGGGCATGCCTGCTGTTGCCATGGTGATTTCAGAAGCTGTCTGTCAGTCAGTTGTTGTGCAGACACAATCAGGAAAAAACTGTCCCAAAGTCTGAGAATCGCCTCGTGGCTGTTGTCAAAATTTCAAAAATGTTCAGGAAATCATCGGACCGGTTGAGAGCAGTCGATCAGGCTGTGAGCGCTCGTCGTGCCTCAGTATACGCTGCACGACCATCGACTGTAACGAAGCCTGAGTGCCGTCACCCGTCTGTTCCTGCAGGGGGGCGCTGGAGTCCCATCGATGGCCGTCTCCATGCTGGAAAGGCTGTCTCAGCCTAACTTTCAATCGACCTAACGACAGGCTGAAAGCTGGAGCTGAGGCGGGTAGTAAACCTCCTGACAAACCGTCACACCGCGCCCGCCTGTCAATCAGGTCAGCTACATGCCGAATAACTCTTATCCTTCAACAAATCAAAACGGATGAGTCATCAAAACATCCCCCCCCCCACAGTGTGTGTCGATCGAGACATGAGCTAATCAGACCTGTTTGTTTTTTTGAAAAAGGCTGTAAATGTTAATCTCTGCTGTAAAAACAGGCATTTTAGAATAAGTGTTTAGTGTATGTGACTTCTTGTGCTTCTGCAGCCAGCCTCTAGTGGACACTCAAGGAACTGCAGGATTTTACACTCCGGTATCGGCTTCATTTTTCAACACAGGAGGTTGCTGCTTGTGCACAACTGAGGAAGGGCAATCGTGCTGAAATTCAGGGTGAAAAATGTAGTCGTTTCCTTTCACACATGAAGAGTTTTTTTGTGCATGTGTGAAAACAGCACAACTTTAAAAGTTTTACTGCAGCCCAGTACGTTTTTCTTCTTTTGAAGATGAAGAAAGTCTGGGAGGCATTAAGTCCTTACAAATCCGCAGAATACAGAAGATAAACCTTAAAGACATGTCAGCTGGATCGTATGAAATGATTAACCTTTAGATCCTTTAACGATGCTTTGACTGAAAACAGCAAAATAAATGTACAAAATGCAAATCATCTGCTCTGTTGATGGTTATCTTCAGCAGGAAGCTTTAAACATATTTTTGAACTGATCCAATCTTTCCCTGATTGGTTGTTGGCTGTACTATTGATGTGTGATTAAAAGCAATCACTTCTCAGATGTCACAGTTTGATCGTCTGTCCTGCCGCTCGAGCAGTTTGGTCGTTTTTCCCCTCGAGGCTGCTGTCAAAAGATCTGCTTTTAACTCTCGTTGGCTCCTTTCGCTGTGGTAGTATTTTTCTTGTTGTGGTTAATTGCGCTCTTATCTCTGACTGCTGTCACATAAATCTGAACTAAACAACAGAACACATATTTTGTCTGCATCTTCCAGACATCTGCAGCGTCATGTTTTATCTTTGTTCCTGTCATTACAGTCATATTAGTGTTTCTCGCTCTCTGTCATCATTTTTTGGGAACAAACTTTTTTCTGGTTTGAACGCCTCGTCAACCATGTTGATGCCGGTGTGTCTCAGCGTGACTATTTATATCGTCACTAGACAACACCAAGCAGGAGTTGCACGCTCGTTAGAGGGTGACACAGGAGTGTTCCCTGTGATCGCTGCACGACCATAGACTGTCTGCATGCCACCTCTACCATCTCCGTGCTCTAATGAACCTGCTTGCATTATGTTTCCTGTTCTCCACTCTTTAGTTCAGATTGAGATTCTGTTCAACTACACATCTTACACTATATGCATTTGAAGAAAAAGGTCAGAAAAAATCGACAGCACGCCATTTGTTTCTGTGAGCGTGTAAACACATCGTTCATGATGCAAAACAAAGAGTGTAACATGAAACGATCGGATGTGAAGATGATGATAGAGCAGAGGTTCAGTCTGAGATCGTGTCCTCAGACTCGTTTTTAATTCAAAAATGATTTAACTGTCACACAGAGGCCTGTTGCAGAAAAAATGAGAATTGAATTTGAGTCATTATTCTGCACACACACACACACACACACACACACACACACACACACACACACACACACACGCAAACGCACACACATGCACACACGCACACACAGTCTGCTGGAGATGTCTGTCTGGCTCGCCCATGCATTGAAACTTTTCAGCTTTTCCACCGCTCAGCCCTCTCTCACAGCTTATGGAAGCAAAGACACACACACACACACACACACACACACACACACACACATATTCCCACACACACACATTCCCATACACACACACACACACACACACACACTGTAACAGTGCGCTGCAGGCCTGAGGGAGCAGCTCGGGCCGCGTTCAGTCACTGTAACGTGTTTTCTGCTCTTCATCCATCACCGGCGTCTCCCCCACTCTGAAATAATTTTATTCCACACATCTTTGTAAAAACATTTCCACTCAGAGAAAAGTGTAAGTGAATGAAGTTTTCCTGGCGTGTGCTCGTTCTTCACGAGGAGGACAGGGCTGGGTGTTTTATCTCTGTCTGCGTGATTTTATTTCCCTCTCGTTTAAATTCCATTTCTGCCTCGGTTTGAGACGTTCACCGCCCTCTGGCTGCGTCCTGATTCAGGAGCAGCTTCCTTTGAAGTTTGCATGTCAGTACCAAGTACACCTCTACAGGTTGACCAGACCCGTCCTGCGGCAGAAACTACCGCGTACTGCAGAGCGCGTACAGCCTGACTTTTTTTTTTTTTTTTTGCATGAATTTTAGAATAGTCATCAGGTTTATCCTTTGCAGCTCTGCTTGATGATGCATTCAGGCACAATTGTATTCCTGCATGTAGACAACATGGACGAAGTCTCAGTGACATCACCCATTGGTTACTGAAGCAGACATTTGAAGCCAGTGTCCGTCTCTAACTTTCGGTCAGCCTAACTCCAGGCACAGAGCTGGAGCTGAGGCGGGTTTTAAGCCTCCTGACAAACCGTTACTCTGCACCCGCCTCTCAGTCGGGTCAGCTACACGCCTTGTAACTTCTTAAGCTCCGTACAGTTTGTGTGGATAACGACATGAACTATCGGACCAAATTGGTATTTTGTTTCCAGGCTGCAATTAGTTTATGCTGTATCTGCTGTAAAAATTATACATTTTGAATTGGAGCCCCGTCTCCATGAAGTGGTCGGTAACGGTTTGCATTCATTGAAGAGGGTCAACATGAGACCGTGTACCAACGGAGGAGCTCAATAATAATAAAACCAAGTGAATAGAAATAAAGTCATGCTTCAAATAAAGTCCTGGTACCTTGTGATGTAGTCAAGACCATGCTGACCGAGACCAAGACATACCTAGGACCAGAGTGCTCCGAGACCGAGTCAAGACCAAGACCAAGACATTTAGGGATCGAGACTGAGTCAAGACCAAGACATTTAGGTATCGAGACCGAGTCAAGACCAAGACCAAGGCAGGGTCAGACCAAGACAAGACCAAGACATTTAGGGATCGAGACCGAGTCAAGACCTAGACATTTAGGGGTCGAGACCGAGTCAAGACCTAGACATTTAGGGGTCAAGACCGAGTCAACACCTAGACATTTAGGGGTCGAGACCGAGTCAAGACCAAGACCAAGGCAGGGTCAGACCAAGACAAGACCAAGACATTTAGGGATCGAGACCGAGTCAAGACCTAGACATTTAGGGGTCAAGACCGAGTCAACACCTAGACATTTAGGGGTCGGTAACAGTTTGCATTAATTGATGAGGGTCAACATGAGACCGTGTACCAACAGAGGAGCTCAATAATAATAAAACCAAGTGAATAGAAATAAAGTCATTCTTCAAATAAAGTCCTGGTACCTTGTGATGTAGTCAAGACCATGCTGACCGAGACCAAGACATACCTAGGACCAGAGTGCTCTGAGGCCGAGTCAAGACCAAGACCAAGACATTTAGGGATCGAGACTGAGTCAAGACCAAGACATTTAGGGATCAAGACTGAGTCAAGACCAAAACATTTTAGGGATCAAGACTGAGTCAAGACCAAGACATTTAGGGATTGAGACCGAGTCAAGACCTAGACATTTAGGGGTCGAGACCGAGTCAAGACCTAGACATTTAGGGGTCGAGACCGAGTCAAGACCAAGACATTTAGGGATCGAGACGGAGTCAAGACCAAGACCAAGGCAGGGTCAGACCAAGACAAGACCAAGACATTTAGGGATCGAGACCGAGTCAAGACCTAGACATTTAGGGGTCAAGACTGAGTCAAGACCTAGACAGTTAGGGGTCTAGACTGAGTCAAGACCTAGACATTTAGGGGTCTAGACTGAGTCAAGACCTAGACAGTTAGGGGTCTAGACTGAGTCAAGACCTAGACATTTAGGGGTCGAGACGGAGTCAAGATTAAGTGTGTGTTAAGCCTTATTAGCTGAAGAGATGTCCTGACCTGACATAAATAACATGTGAGCGTTTGTCGTAGCTTGTGGTCAACATTAATGCCGAACGACTTCAGGTGTGACTATTTGATCCTCTTTTTGCTGCTTTGAATCTTTTAATGAAGTCCATCTTCTCCTCCTTAATGAGAGCTGACTTTATGTTTTTAAAATGCAGAGCGGGTAAATAATGTACAGAAACATTGAAACGCCATCAGAGCGTCTCTTCAGGTGTTTGTTCTTTTGTCGTCTCATCAGGTGAACATGCCGGAGCTGGCCCTGCTGCGCTTCGTGGTTCTAGACGACGACTACATCGGAGACGACTTCATCGGCCAGTACAGCGTGGCCTTCGAGTGCCTTCAGCCCGGCTACCGTAACGTGCCCCTGCTGGGCCTGGCGGGAGACCCCGTACCACACACCAGCCTCTTCGTCCACGTGGCGATCACCAATCGACGAGGAGGCGGCAAGGCTCATCGGAGGGGTCTGTCGGTGAGGAGGGTCGGGAGGAGAGGGAGGGAGTACGTCTCGCTGAGACACACCGGCATCAAGGTGGTCGACGAGACGTTCAAACCGGCCAGCGCCCCGCTTAAAGAGGCGACTGACCTGCGGGAGGAGGCTCAGGTGAGCGGGAGAGGGTTTGGATTTACATGTCTTTGTCTGAAATGCATATCTAGACTGCCAGTGAGACAGAGACGTTACCTTTTAGTTTTATCACCCTGAAGAATCTAGATCACAGCCTTTAGGGACAGGAGGGTGTAACGGCGTGGGTCTGTGCCTCGTGGTTAACAGCGTTCTGGAGAGCGTTGGAGTGTGTCATTACACGCAATTACACAAAACGTGACAGCCCTGTTTCACAAGTATAATAAAAAAAAGAGGTGAAAGAGAGAAACAGGAGGGAAACAATAGATAGTGAGACACACACACACACACACACACACACACACACACACACACACACACACACACACACACACACACACACGCCCAGGCATCCGTCCAAACACGAGGCTGCTCTTTCTTTGCCAGCTCGCTCCGATTATTTCTGCTCCGTCTGTAATTTGGCTGCACAACAGTCGAGGTGAAAGCTGACTTTGTTTTTTGTCTGAACTCAAAAAGCCGCTTTTAAGTCCTTTAACGGTCGCCACGAGCCGACGCATCAGAAGACCAGCATGCACCCATGGGTGCAGCTTTGATTGGGAAAGCGGAGACATTTTCTAAATTGGAATTCCTGCAAATTTCATTTCATCCATGTCTAAAAAAAATGACACAAAAAACTCTCTTGTGATTTCTAAAATCCTAATAATATTTTTTTATGTTCAACAACAAAGCTCTCCTTTTCAGAGCTAACCTGGTTTCCATTCTGTCCTCGCTCTGCCTGCTCTGAGCTCCGTCGCTCACTCTGACAGGAAAATGAAAAATGTTCAGAGAGGATTTCTGGATTATCCAGAGGAACAGGACTTTATAGTTCCTGGAAAGACACGACCTCATTCACCTTCTTTAAACCAAGACGCAGGGACGGACTCGGACTCATAAAACATGGACTGTCTGCTCTGGTCATCCCGAAGGTGAAGGAGGAAACCAACCAAACGATTAGTTTAGTATTTATTGGCTATTTGAAAACTCCAGTATATCCATCCATCCATTATCTGTACCGCGTCTCCCGTTCTGGGCTGCGGGATGCTGGAGATGATCCCAGCTGAGCTCCACAAAACGGGCAAACATCAAGCGGTCACCATGAACTCTGTTTAACACATTCCTCACAGTCTGTCCTCCAAAACCGCTTGTTGACCGCTCACTTCACTTTCGGGTCACTTCCAGCATTTGGTTCCTTTTCTGGCAGGATTCTGTCGTTTGTAAATCCGTCTCAGCGCTCGTTTCACATCTTGTACATTTAAAAAAAAAAAAGTAAATTAGTTTTCTCCTTATTAAAAGTGCCACCGTAGGAAACTGAATCCTATCACTAGAATCTGTTGTATTTCAGGTCATGCAGGTTTTAAACTAGAAACGAGACTTCCTCTGTCCTAACACAAACCTCAATCTATATATTCTTAGATGATGTCTTAGTTTAGTCCACCTGAGACTTCTCTGTAGAGCCAACAAGAAAGAGGAGAGGAGGAAGAGAGGGGAGGAAGTTGAGAGGAGGATGAGGAGAGGAGGAGGATAAGAGAGGATGAAGATGAGAGGAAGTGGAGAGAGGAGGATGAGGAAGGATGAGAGAGGAGAACGAGGAGAGGAGGAGGATTATAAAGGGTCTATAAATACGAGCTAAAACAGAACCTGGTGGCACAGCACCCACCAGATTATCACTGAATACAAACGATGTAAGAGTGGGCGATGTGAGAAGAATCCTCTTTCGCTTCATTTCTGTTTTCAGAAATAAAAATCATCTCAAAAGGGCAAAAATACAGAAACCACGCTGCCCTGAACTTCAGATCAGCAGAGTGGCGTCTTGGCCAAAAAGTTATCCTCAATCCTGCCGACAGACAAACAAACAAAAGCGGATGAAGTGTGCATTTTCTGACAGTACAAAAGGACCAACGTTTGTAACCGTTAAACATTCACACGGGGTTAAATGTGTGCGTCCATGCGGCTTTAGTAGTCCAGATTTAGATTTAGATTCAGTCACATTTAAAAAAAAATCAAGATCTACAACAGCAAGAAACATCTCCCTGAATGGTTGAGCAGCCTCCTCAGTGATAAACGGTATCAAAATCTCCATCAGGAGATAAATCCTTATCATGTCATGTATCACACCGACCCTGAATCGAGCTCCCTCCATCACACAAACATACGCACACACACACACACACACACACACACATAATCACATTTTCACAAACAGCTTTTAATCTGCCGGCTTCAGCCTCATTGTCCTCTCTCTCCCACTTGAACCTCTGTCTCATGCGTCCAGCTGTGGCCTCATCTGCCATGGTCACTTATTACACAGCATCGTTCTGCTACTGGTTACACAGCCACACACACACACACATGGATGCACACACAGCCACACTCACTCCATGCAGGTGAGGCGTGATAATCGCTGGTCCAGTTGGAGCTCTGCCAGGTGGTAAATTGTGTTCACTTGTTCAGCAGAGGTTATTTTTCTAGTGTTTTTGCACGAACATAAATACACTTTTTTAATTGATGACGTGACCTGAATTTTTTAATATTTTTTTGGCATACTGACTAAAGATTTTTATTCCCTTGTACTTCTCTGAACTGCTAACTAACCCACCTGTGCATCCTGACTCACCTGCAGCAGAGGAGAAAGGCTCTAAATGTTGTAATTATTCTGTTCCACATGAATGCAAAAAGCTCTGAAGCTCAGTTGGATTTCAGAGGATTACAAGCAGCAGCGACTGCCGTATTGATTTTATTCACAGGAGAGGGGAATCACAGGAAGTGTGTGTGTTCCGGGAGTGTGTCAACCTTTCGGACCTTTTTCCTACCTTAATTTTACAGCTAGAACTTTTCCTCCTCCTCCTCCTCATCTCTTCATCTGTCTGTGTTTTTTATTCATGCGTCTCCAGAGCACGACGGCCAGCTTCAAGGAGCAGTGTGGGCTCCCCACGGTGGCCAAACTGAAGCAGTGCATCCAGAGCCTGACCACGAGGCTGCAGAGTCCCGAGGGCCCGATGGGGGCCACTATGGTGCTGAGGGACGGGTACCCGTGTCTGGAGGCTCTGGTCAACCTCTCCGAGCCGACGCGTAAACTGCTCGCTGCCTACGACACGGTGAGTAAGAGGAAACAGGAAGATCTGCAAGAAAGTGTTCTAGTATGTTTCTGAAATTAGAGACAAATGTCTACTTCACCGACTGAACGCAGACTGACCTTTAAGTCATTCAAGACCTATAGGACAGTCTTCAGGGGCGGCTGTGGCTCAGAGTCCGTCGTCGTACCGTCAACCGAAGGTCAGGGGTTCAATCCCCAGCTCCTGCAGCAACATGTGCATGTGTCCTTGCGCAAGCAAGCTTAATCCCTCGGTGCCACAGAGCACACTTTGAATCTCTTGCATGATTCCCCACCAGCTTCAACGTCATCTCTTCAGTGTAATTTACAGGCAGTGCGTTTAAGAATCTGTAACATTTAGCCGACTTATTCCAGGGATGATCCCAACCCGCTAATTTTAAACGGACACGAATAGTTTAAGGTTCAGAGTCTCAGCGTCTGCAGGTGAATGGTGCCTAATTGGATTGCAGAGTGCGGATCTAGTGAGCAGCAGTGCTTGCACCACCAGCCTCCGGCTCTCCTTGCAGCTTAATGTCCACATACATGTGCAGGATGTTACAAATGACATAAGAAGAAGCAAGATGTGTATTTCTGATGTTGATCACGCTGCATGTCCATGTGTTTTAAAAAGAGGAAACACAAGAGGGTTAGCAACACGAGAAGAAGATTCATTCGCTCCTCTTGGGAAATCTCTGTTCTTGCTGAATATGTTCGATGAAGTTGGATCATTTGAGGCCATCAGAGTTTTCATACTGTGTAATGTGACACACGACGCTGCATAACTCAGCGTGCTCACACAGACCCACATGCAAATCCTCCGTCCTGAGTCATTAAATATGCAGGAGACACTCAGCCACACTCCTCCTCACTTACACACACACACACACACACACACACACACACACACACACTGACTATCAGCTGTGTGTGTCCTCCTCCTCCATCTCTTCTTGCATCAGATCAGGCTGAATCTCTCCCACCTGTTTCAGCGCTCAGATGTTACACCTACACACACCTCGGCACAGAGAGAGAGAGAGTGTGTTTGTGTGTGTGTGTGTGTGTGTGTTCGAAACATCACTTTGCATTTGTTGACGTTTGAGTGTGGATGTAGGAAATGTGAGCTCAGCGGGTCAGTGTCACGCCGCCACAGTCGCTGTGAACTTCCAGGCGTAAATCACACCTCCTGAGGCTGAGTCACAGTCACACATCGCCCTCCTCTCTCTCTCTCTCTCTCACTGGTCTTCAGTCCTCTCCTTCATTTTTCATTTCTATCAACAGATTCTTCGAGGTTTGTTGGCGTCAACGGGAGAAAATGTGTCTCGACTTAACCCTGTGAGGATGAGACCGTCAAATGATTGTCAGGAAATGTAATTCTCTGAACCTGTTTTGGGCTTCTGGTGCCTTTATTATTGAGATAGGACAGTGGATAAAGTCTGAAATCAGGGTGAGAGAGAGTGGGGAAAGACATGTGGGAAAGGAGACACAGGTCGGATTCAAACACGGGCCGCCCGCTTGGAGGACACTATCTTCAATACATGGGGCGATCGCACTAACCACTACGCCACCAGAGCCCCGAGAAATTGAAAAACACTTTGTGAGAAAAAACACCAACATCAGATTTGTCATTGTGTTACAACAGGTTTCATATAAAAACTATTATAAAAGGCAGTAGTTCCCAACTGGTGGGTCAGGACCCAAAAGTGGGTCATGGAGCCGTTTTATGAGGGTCACAAACATGCGCCAAGTCCATAAAGGGCTTTTTCCAAGATGTTTTTTTTGTTCTGTTTCTTTGTTCTATCACATTTTTTTTTACCGTTTTGGGTCCAAACAGCCGACAACATTTCTGGCTGCTTCCCCCCTTTACGGTTGATTTAGTTCTCAGTAGACTCTGATACTTGAAGCTCTCTGTTTGAGGAAGTGAACTCTAACTTTCTGTCCGTCTCCTGCAGATGATTGCAGCTCAGAAACAGCTCATTGAGAACGCAGATGGTGTTCAGGAGAGGATCGCCCAGGTGCAGAGAGAAGGTAAAGGGACAAACTGAGTGAATATGGATGTTGTGAATATGAATGCTCATGAGTTTAAAAAAAACAACAACTGTGCAGAATGCTCAACGATGTACCAACTGTGTCAGAAACACGAGGAGCTTGATGTAAAGAGGTGCCTCCTTTGAGAATAAATCTGTGAACAAAGAAGACACAGAACTTTCTGTTGATTCATCACAAGTCTGTCAGTTTGGGCTCATTTTGAACTCTTTTCTGTTACTTTCTTATGTTTTGTTTTTCCTCTATTTGCACTGTTTTTTTGGGGGGAGGGGGGGGTGTCTGTTAGTTTAGAGGGTTTGGAAGCTACTCGTAAGACTTAACTTGAGATCTCTTCAGCCTGGCTCACGCTGAAGGATCATCGGGCTGATTTGATGTCTGATTAAAACTCCTGCAGCGAGCCAGGCTTTACGTTCCAGGTGAAGTTTTACAGTTTGAAATCTCTACAGGGAGTATGGAGAGCATGGAGAAGTTCTTCTCAGCCAAAGACAGATATTTTTAGACTCTCTCGTTTCCTCAGACGATTCCTGACCTTTAACTGTCGATGTAAATGTCATAACCACAGTTTACTTTTTATATGTAAATCCAGATTCTGACAAACAAACAGACACAACAGTTTGTTTACACTTGCCCCGATACATTTTGTGTCAGTCACAGAAACAGTGCACTGACACAGCGCACTGACATACTTATATTTCTGTTTTTAATGGTAGCTGCTCCCCGTCTCTGTAAAGTGACACACAGCTCATGTTTGTGTTTGGCGTTTTTTTTTTTTTCAGGGATGGACTTTCATGAAGAGCTGTCCCGGCTCGGGGAGAAGGAAGGACTGAAGGGACGCAAACAAAGTAAAGCTGTGGAGAGTTTCACCTGGAACATCACCGTGCTGAAGGTGAGGTCATACTACCACATTAGACTACATGTAAATGTCTCTCAGAGTCATGACTGTCTACAATGAGTGAGAAGCTCGAGTCCCGCTGGATGTGTTGTTGTGAGAGCCGTGTTTACATGGACGGGACGGCCGGCTCCTCCCCTTGTGTATAAAAGCTGTTTTAGTCAATGACTAGAGAGAAGAAGAACATACTCACTGATTATTTGGATGTTAGTAAGAGTTTGTAGATCACGCTTATTCTGTCAGTTTACATGCAATGTGAAGCTACGAGCTAACTAAAGACCGCTAACATTAGCATGCCAACACAACAATGCAGGACACAGGTGATCGCAGCTCGAGCAAAGGACAATTTTGTCCTCTGCTTGAGCTTAATCGTGCTTAATTATGATGTGTTCTAATTGATAACTCCTTCATGTGAACGTGAGTGTAGAGGGGTTGGAGGTGTGTCTCTGGAGGAGAGCGGAGGCTTCAGTATGGAGGAGGTGTGGCCAAACAGCAGTTTGTTTTGGTCTCATGCTGGTGCTCAAGAGCGACATCTACTGGATGAAGAAGTTGCACATTTTTCCTTAAATAGACAAATATTTTCTTCACAGCTTGATGGAAACCAAAAACTAAAACAGCTTTTTAGGTCTGGCCTTCTAATAATCTCACCTGAGGAAACCTGAGCTAAAACTTGTACTACTGAACGCACACATTACTACAAGTTGTAATAAATTGTGATAAATTGTGAACATGTGTTTTTCCCTCTTCTGCAGGGTCAGAGCGATCTTTTACGGGGCGCTAAGATGGATTCTCTGGACGCTCTGAGGCAGCTAGCTCTGGCGTGTGAAGCCTGTGGTCTCACCTCCTCCAACTCCTCGTCCTCCACCTTCTCCAGCGCCGAGCTGCACTACACCTCCCACCCTCTGTCAGGACGCCGGAGCAGCACGCATGGAAACGGACGCATCTGACACCCCCCTACAACCCCTGCCCCCCGCACCCCCCCCACCCCTCTCCCGCCTCGGGTCCAGCGTGCTGCCAAAGACGAACAGTGAGCGGACGAATAATTACAGAGTGTGAGGAGATACTAGAGCGAGAAGTAAAGGCGCGGGTGTGAAGAGCACCTCAGGAGACGGAGGATGGTTTCCCCTCATCCAGTGCAGTAAGAGTCTAGACGAGTCTAGACCGCAGCAGTAAATCAGTTAAAGCCTTACGGGAGTTATTAATGAATCACTGAAGGTCCGGCCTGCTGAAAGGCTTTTTATGAATGTCAAAGAGGACGCCCCACTCGGGTCCTTGAACAGCACACAGCTCCTGCTAATATTAAGGGGAGAAAATGTCTCGATGTTGTAACTCTGCAGGTTTTCTCTCCGTAGATTTGTTTGTGAGAGCGGGGCCGTCGCTGGGCGGACTCTAGGGTCCATTTGGTGTTTCATTTCAGAGGTTTGAAATACAGAACAGACGGGGGGTAGAATTATTATCTGCCTCAGTTATTCAGCTCGTCCTCTGGAAGACAACAAGACTACCTGAGCGTGTGTGTGTGTGTGTGTGTGTGTGTGTGTGTGTGTGTGTGTGTGTGTGTGTGTGTGTGTGTGTGTGTGTGTGTGTGTGTGTGTGTGTGTGTGTGTGTGTGTGTGTGCTCATTTGTGCTTACAGTTTTGCAAACAGGGGAAAGAAACCAGGCAGCTTAGATTTTAAGTGAAATACAATTTCTCTTTCTGCTTGTACACTGCAAGCTAACGCATGCTAGCACAAGCTAACCACGGGTGTTTGTCACCTGCCTGTCCAACAGGAAGCAGACCAATTCCACTTCCACGGGTAAAAGCCAACTCAATGTTCACCCTCGTTTTGGATGTTATTTTGACACGTCCCTGATTGGCTGAAATTTGGATTTGGTATCCTGCTCTTCTATCTGCGTCAAATCTCTCCAATGCAAGTGACAGGATGAATATTAGATGAAAAAATTGACCTTGTCGGAAGTATTAAGAGTTTTTAAACAAAGTATGTGAGTCTGCGGAAAGTTGGAAAAGTCAAAACATTAAGCTGAATATTTGCAGATTTCATCTAACTGAGTGCATGCGTTATTTTCTAGACGTCAGTGTCACCGTGAAATCTGACTTCTGTTCATCTTCTCCGGTTGCTCTGAAAGTCTGAACCGCTCCCTAACAATGACCCCGAAGAGGAACACGACTACACGAGGATTACTCCACTTTCTAAACTTTAACTAGAGTGCAGAAAGATCGCCTTGCAACCCTGAGAACACAAAACACACACACACACACACGCACACACACACACACACACACACACACACACACACACACACACACACACACACACACACACACACAGAGGATCTTGTTATCTCCAGCTGACAGCCTTTGAGCCCGTTGTGTTCGGCTGAAACACGATGAACGACATGTAGCTGAGAAGAGACGCCGTAATTGGAGAAGTTGCGGATGTGTGTTTGTGTGTGTGTGTTGATACTGTCGTACTCCATGTGTGGATCACATAAATCTCCTCCCGGCGCCGACATGCAAGCTAATGGACGCTCAGAGTGTGTGTTCGGTTGTGTGTACAGAGAACAGATTGTTTAATGTAGCAATATGATTGGGAGGAAGTTACAAGAATGTGTACTGACTGAAAACTTTAAGCTCAGTGATGTTTATCAATGTGTGTGAAAACTACAAAAATAGCGGTAGCAGGTGCTACTGATCCAACTGGTAGTGCGTACCTGTCGTCAGTAACGGTGTTCCCCTCGGCCTTTGACTGTAACTGTTTTATCTCTAAACACAGAAGAACACCGGTTCTTAATGTGCTCATGTTTGTGTGTTACGTGAAATTCTGCGTCTCAACCAAACTTGACAAACGTTTGACAAAAAGCTAATTTAACAGGATCAGATTCAACTTCTTGAATTCTGTGTTAACAAAATGTTGATTTTCAGGTTTATAGGAAGAAAGAGGTTCCGCGTTTTGTCCAATAATGGCTATGATGTTTCACTGACATTTTAAAGGTCTAGTGTGTACGATAAACACAGGTTAGAAGACGTGGTGACCAGGGGAACTATCATTTGAAGCATCAAGTTTGGGATCTAGGTCATGGCCTTCTTGTTGTTTTGTTGGAGCTGGATGCAACTGTATTCAAAGGTTTGCTTAAGTTGGGTGTGTTGCTACAGTGAGTTATTGTGTTCTGATTTCTGGTCAACACTATCTCATTACACTTAAAGGAGCAAAAGTTAGACACGTACCTGGCAAGAAAATTTAAGAACTCCTCTTGTTTTTACTATGGAAGCCCTAAGAGGACATTCAACCTCACTTTTTATTTCACTCCATTTTCTCGTGATAAGGAATAATCTTAACTGTTTGTCTTTTTATTTCGAGTTAACAACGCTGGTTTTCCCATGATACCAAGTTACATGTTTTCGATACCTTGAGAAAACGACTGAAATTAACTCGTTATCACATGAAAACCAGCGTTGCTCTCCTGAGATAACGACTTAAATAAGTCGAGATCGAGGGAAAACAACCAGATTATGGATGCATGTCCTCTTGGGGCTTCCATATTTTCCTGATTTTGTAACCATGAAAAGTTTTTTTTATTTACTTCAGTTCAGTGTTTATTTCTTTAGACTGAAAGCACGGCGACTTTTGAAAAGACATGTTGAATGTTTCCTGTGCCCTCTGGACGACGCAGGGAGGTGGACCGAGAAGAGGAAATAACAGCTCACCAGCAGGTGGCGCTCTGCAGCAGAGAGGATGTTTATGAACGACACTTTACTCACCTGTTTAACCCTTAAAGTGCTTGTGCAGGACTACTGTATGTTCCGACGACGCCCCAGATTTTGAATTTGTGTTATCTGCAGAAAATGTCCCTTTTTTAAAACGCTCTCCCCCGTCCTCGTGTTCCTGCTGCTTTTTCCAGAGGCTGCAGGTGGGAGCTGAGTCACCGCCGCAGGAGGAGGCTGACCTAATAACATTTCCACGAGTGTGTTTGTGTGTGCGTGTGTCTAAGAAAAGTAGATGACATGTACTGAAGTGAGAGCAAAGGTTGAAGAAGAAGAAGAAGAAGGGGGTGAAATTGGATGAAGTTTAGATGCAGGTGTGTTCGCTGGGCTCACCTGCAGAGCGTCATAATTGGCTGTGAGCAGCAGACGGAGTGACAGCACCTGCTGTGTCCATCTATTAATACTCACTCTGACTCACAGGACGCCCCGGGATGGGTGCTTATGTCTCTTATAAAACCACTGTGCCCTAATCCCTGACCTGAAAATGCAAACTGGTTCATTGCCAAAATATTCACCAACGTTTCTCTCAAATCGACAGAATCTTCAGATGCTTTTCAGATCATATACATTTAATAACGGTGCAGTAAATCCCGAAACATTTAAAATATAAGTTACTGATAAAATAGTGGAAATGTCGAGACAAAGATTAAAAGAGATTTATTAATTTTCATGCTTATTTCTTAATCCATCCATCCATTATCTGCACTGCTTTTCCCGTTTGTGTTCGGCTCGCGGCGGGCTGGAGCCAATCCCAGCTGTGGGAGGTGGGCGAGAGGCGGGGCACACCCTGGACTGGTAGCCAGAGACAGACAACCAGCCAGCCACACTCACATTCAAACCTGCGGACAATGTAGAGTCACCAGTTAACCTAACGAGCATGTCTTTGGACTGTGGGAGGAAGCCGGAGTACCCGGAGAGAACCCACACATGCACGGGGAGAGCATGCTAACTCCAAACAGAGAGGCTCCTGTCAGACAGGGATTCAAACCAGGAACTTCCTCGTTGTGATGCAAACCACTGCACCACTGTGCAGCCCTTAATGGCATCATTGACATGCAAAAAAAACACAACAAGGATATTCTAACTTGTCCTCTTTTTAAATTGTTCTCACCTATTAACAGTTTTAAATTCACATTTAATTTTTTCCTCCTTTTCCATCTTTTTTTTTGGGCCCTGCTGTGACTCCGTACCCTCTATCTGTCACAGGTGTGTTTACCTGCAGGGAGGATCTGTGGGCAATTAATGATGCAGCAGCTGCAGTAAAACAAACCGCAGTATTACCTTTCTGTATTCTGGTTTTCAGGCCTGCTGACAAACTGGGTCAGAGAGCGAACAGGCGAGAGCAGAGAGACAGAAAGAGTCGGCTTTCAGTAATTAGACCGAGTTAACTGTAACCGTCACGCTCCGAATAATTCATTAAGGTATACTGTATTTACAGGACGCTGTGTTCGACAGTAATGCCTCTCTTGCTTATGTATACCAGAGGGAGATGCTAATTTGTAGAAATAATCAAATGACCCAGAAGAACAAAAGAGGAGATTCTGAAAGATTTAACTTTTCATTTTGAAACATGAAAAACACATGTTTTTAAATGTATAGATACGGGTCGTCATGATGCCAGTCATCTAAACTTAAAGATACAATATGTAGAATTTTATTCTAAATTTACACTAAAATATCTAAATGTATTTATTTTGTCCCTTCAGGCTTCCAGTAGATATTCGTCCTCAGTGTCTCCCTGTAGTCTCAGTGATCTAAAAGAAGGACACTGCTGCATCTTTGAATGTCTCAATTCACTTTAACAAACTCTCAGACAGCTCAGCTGACGAGTTGCATCATGACCTAATGATAATGTCTCTTTTACTAAAACTCAGTGTGATGAATCTCTTCTATCAACCAAGTTTCAATACCCCAAAGTTTACAAAAAAGGCACTGTGACACAACCTCGGATAAGCGGAAGAAAATGGACGGATAGTTTAATAATTTCGTCTTCATGTTTCCACATTTTTTTCTTTAATCTAAGGGTTTTACAGATATTTTTTTTAACTCACATTTTGCTTTTCTCATCTGCTCTTCTTTGTGATGACACTTTAATTTGAAGGGTTATTCTTTTTTTATGGCGCTCATACGATTCCATACTGATAGGTCCACTCACTGCAGTGCTTTGAATAATGTTCAGTCTCTCGTGTGTGACCCGACGCTGCACCCTGAT